GCTGTGCGAATCCTGTACCGGCTACATATGGAACACAATTATATACAGTTGCAAGAAAAAGTATGTGAACCCCTTGGGATTACGTGGAGTTTTGCATGAATTGGGCATAAAATGTGCTCTGAACATCATCTAAGTCACAACAATAGAAGAACACAGTCTGCTGAACATAATACTACACAAACATTAGCTGTTGCCATGGTTTAATTGCACATAACATGTAAACATTCACAGTGCAGGGAGGAAAAAGTATGTGAACCTTTGGACTTAATAACTGGTTGACCCTCCTTTGGCAGCAATAACCTCAACCAAACGTTTCCTGTAGTTGCAGATCAGATCTGCACAACGATCTGGAGTAATTTTGGACCACTCCTCTTCACAAAACTGTTTCAGGGTAGCAATATTCTTGGGATGTCTGGTGTGAATCGCTCTCTTAAGGTCATGCCACAGCATTTCCATCGGATTGAGGTCAGGACTCTGACTGGGCCACTCCAGAAGGCGTATTTTGTGCTGTTGCAGCCATTTTTTTGTTGAATTACTTGTATGCTTTGGGTCATTGTCCTGTTGCATCACCCATCCTCTGCGGAGCTTCAGTTGGCGGACAGATGGTCATACATTTTCCTGCAAAATGTCTTGATAAACTCTGCAATTCATTTTCCCATCAATGACAACAATCCATCTAGGCCTTGAGGCAGCAAAGCAGCCCCAAACCATGATGCTCCCTCCGCCATGTTTTACAGTGGGGATGAGATTTTGATGTTGGGTGTACTGTGTCTTATTTTCTCCACACATAGTGTTGTGTGTTCTTCCCAAACAACTCAATCTTGGTTTCATCTGTCCACAGTATATTTTGCCAGTAGTGCTGTGGAACATCCAGGTGCTCTTTTGCAAACTTCAAACGTGCTGCAATATTCTTTTTGGACAGCAATGGCTTCCTCCGTGGTGTCCTCCCATGTACTCCATTCTTGTTTCATGTTTTCCTTATTGTAGATGTGTCAACAAAAATGTTAGCATGTTAGCATGTGCCAGAGATTTCTGTAGGTCTTTAGCTGACACTCTGGGATTCTTCTTTACCTCATGCAGCATTCTGCGCTGTGCTCTTGCAGTCATTTTTACAGGACGACCTAGGGAAAGTAGCAACAGTGCTAAACTTTCTCCATTTGTAGACAGTCTGTCTTACTGTGGGCACATGAACATCAAGGCTTTTGGAGATACTTTTGTAACCCTTTCCAGCTTCACGCAAGTCAACAATTCTTGATCGTAGGTCTTTTGAGAGCTCTTTTCTGCGAGGCATGGATAACATCAGACAATGCTTCTTAAAACCAGTAAACTCAAAACAGTGTGTGTTTTTTAAGGGCAGGACAGCTGTCAGCAACACATCCAATATCATCACACTGATTGGAGTCAAGGTTGGCTCACTCCTGGCTCCAATTAGCTCTGGGAGAAGTCATTAAGCTAGGGCCTCACATACTTTTTCCTCCCTGCACTGTGAATGTTTACATGTTATGTGCAATAAAACCATAGCAACATCTAATGTTTGTGTAGTATTATGTTCAGCAGACTGTGTTCTTCTATTGTTGTGACTTAGATGATGTTCATAGCACATTTTATGCCCAATTCATGCAAAACTCCACGTAATCCCAAGAGGTTCACATACTTTTTCTTGCAACTGTACATCGGCAAAGGAACAAAATTTTATCCCAAGTACAGCAAATATGGAATGGCAACATCATCCGTCCTGCTAAACCTCTGCTAAACCAAGGCTACTGTGTAACAACGGACAATTTCTACACCTCTCCAGAACTTTACGAGGTTCTTCTGCAGCACAAAATGGATGCCTATGGAACCGTTCGGGCTAACCGGCACAACCTACCATAAATATTTGGAAAAACCAAACTGAAGCCTGGAGAAATAGTTGCTTGGCAGAAAAGCAAAATGATGGCACTGAGATGGCAGGACAAGAAGGATGTGTGCCTAATGAGTACCATTCACAATGCCTCCACAGTGATGGTACAATCAAAAAGTGGGAAAAACATTCCATTCAGGTTGTTATTGACTACAATAGCACCATGGGAGGTGTCGACAGAGCTGACCAAGCTATGACTTTCTATCCAGCAATGAGAAAGCAGCAGAGGAAATATTGCAAAAACATTTCCCGGCATCTTCTGGAACAGTGCTTGTGGAATGCCTACATTCTGTTCCGCAAAAACAGTGACAAGCCTTTGCTTCATGAGGACTTTATCTGGTAAGTTGCGGAATCCATTTTCCTCAAACATCAAACACCATCAGTGTCTGTGGGTAGATCCGGACAAAGTGCTGTTGGAGTTGTCAACCCAGAATTCCTGACTGGACGTCACTTTATGGACCACATCCCACCAACGCAAAAAAGGCAGCACCTACACGGATGTGCGTGGTATGTTGCTCTCTGCGAGATGAGAATGGAAACAAAATCTGCAAGAAAATGAGGTTCCACTGTCCTGATTGCGATGTCGGACTTTGCGCAGTCCCATGTATCAAAATATACCACACCTGTGATGTTTTCTAGAATATGCAGTGTCTATATAATATTGTTTGGACAGAGTTCCGTGTGTTTGATTTGATTACATTATTTAATTTATTATTATATTATTATTTTTTATTATATTATAATTTATGATTTAATGTATTAAACTTTATTGCACCAAGGATGTCTACTAGACTCTTGTTTAAACAGATTTCAGTGAGTTATTCCTAAGAATTACAGGCCTACAATAAAAAAAACAACATATTTCCATTGAAAACAATGAACCGCTTTCAGCACAGAAATACTGACATAATCATACCACTAGGGAGGTTAATGACCATTTGAAAGATAAGCATATAAGGGAAAAGGCAGCTACAAAATTAATTTGTGCTCAGTAGCTAAGGGGAAACGTTTCCAACGGAGACTGCAGTGATACAAGACCACTGAGTATAAACCATAGAAAATGCTAGGTCTGCTTACCTTTTAGATGCCAAATGTATACATAGTTAAATAGAAAAAAAATCCAAATATAAAAGAGAAAAAAACTTTACACCCCATCTTTTGCTCACTGTACCTCTAAGAGGAACATCACTAGGTTTACGATGAGATCTTGGGAAAGCTGAGGATCCCGAAACCTATGAGAAGATGCTCTAACATTACACAAGAGTGTCAACATGTATATGTATTATTCTCACCTAGGGGTTTGTGGTGGAAGCAGAGGTGTAAGGAAAACATATATATTATTTATTTTTCTATTTTTTTGTATTTGTGAAATTTTACATGTTGGGTTGGGGGTCTAAAAGTTAAGCGGACATTGCATTTTCATGTACAGTTTGATTTAAAGTAAAACTAAAGGCTCATAAATAAAACGGCACAGCAAGCAGTACTATGGGTGTTAGTAAGCAAGGGGCAACTGCCATTTACCTGAGAATAAATGTTTCCTGTCTTGTATAGGATTACGTTGAAAAGCTGATTGAGCACATGCTTGTGCACAACACTTTTCAGCCTTCGTTTGACTTTACATGCTCCACAACACATTGCACACATGTGTCTAAATGTCCAAGCCTCTCTCAAAGCACCACTGTCAGAAAGAAAATTGGGCGGTTCAAAGGAAGGAAAGATGCTGGTAGTGTGTTGGCACTTGCAGTTGCTTGAATTCGCTCTCTGAGGCAACAGAGCTTAAAAAAAATGAACTTCTGCTTCCACTGTCAGCAAAATCACTGGTAGCAAACAACTTCTTTCCCAAGCAGCTAAAAATATTCTGTATAAATATTTTTTAAATGGTTTGAATACACTTTAAGAATCATCCCACTGGATTAACATGGAATTTCTTATTATATAAGCATATATTTGGTACGCTCTCTAATAATTTTTATTACTAATGTTCAAGAGTGTCTCTGTATTCTATAACTGCGTCCCGGCTTGGACATCTGTCCTGGAACCGCAGCTAAATGCTCTGTGTGTTTACATTTCCTGAGCTGCTTATGCTAATTGTATAGCCCAGTCATTCCTGTAGAAAAAATCTGCAGGTTTTCTGACAACTTCAGTTCTACGTTTCAGTTTCTAAGCTGCTTCCTTCCAACCAACACAGGGCAAATGGGTCTCACGTATAGTATTTATCCCTTCCATAACTAAGAATGGGTGGTGCAAGCCCAGAAAAGGAGCTCTGCCTCAAAAGTCCCTGGTTAGTTTGTAGACTGTGCCACGTTTGCCATGCTGTATCACACCTTATATAACATAAGGAGTTTAATTGATACCAAATATCTTATATAAATGGTGATATGTTCTATTTTTACTGAATTGATTTATCCACAATAGCAGTTTTACTTGCAGAAAATGTAATATTGTGGCTACATGTTCAGCAGGTATAGGTTTGGGCAGAAATCACACAGTGGAACTGAAAATCACTTCAAAAGCTGTATCTATTTTCCATTGACCATTGAAAGGTACTGTAACCTAAGCACTGGTGTGTCCCTAATGTGTGCAATGCACATGTGCCCCCCAGGGCGAGGGCACTCACTGTGCACAATAGGGCTACAATCCAGGAAGAATCGCTTGTAATTTTGAGCTGCAGACGCATCTTTCACTTTTAGCTGCAGCTTAAAGGATATCTACAGTATCTCACAGAAGTGAGTACACCCCTCACATTTGTGTAAATATTTTATTCTATATTTTCATGTAACAACACTGAACAAATGACACTTTGCTACAATATAAAGTAGTGAGTGTACAGCTTGTATAACAGTGTAAATTTGCTTTCCCCTCAAAATAACTCAACACACACAGCCATTAATGTTTAAACCACTGGCAAAACAAAAGTGAGTACACCCCTAAGTGAAAATGTCCAAATTGGACCCAATTAGCCATTTTCCCTCCCCTGCGTCATGTGACTCATTATTGTTACAAGGTCTCAGGTCTGAATGTGGAGCACGTAAGTTAAATTTGATGTTATCACTCTCACTCTCTCATACTGGTCACTGGAAGTTCAACATAGCACCTCATGGCAAAGAACTTTCTGAAGATCTGAAAAAAAGAATTGTTGCCCTACATAAAGATGGTCTAGGCTAAAGGAGATTGCCAAGACCTGAAACCTAGCTGCAACACGGTAGCCAACACCATACAGTGGTTTAACAGGACAGGTTCCACTTAGAACAGGCCTCGCCATGGTCGACCAAAGAAGTTGAGTGCACGTGCTCAGCGTCATATACAGAGGTTGTCTTTGGGAAATAGACGTATGAGTGCTGCCAGCATTGTTGCAGAGGTTGAAGGGGGTGGGGGGGGGGGTCAGCCTGTCAGTGCTCAGACCATATGCCGCACACTGCATCAAATTGGTCTGCATGGCTGTCATCCCAGAAGGAAGCCTCTTGTCAGGGTTCTGTCCACAGCAGAAGTTCTAGGAGACCTGGCACTCCTGCCAGTACCATGCATGGCCGCAGAAGTGCACGTTGGCGAAGATCCATGCACATTGGGGCACGGACGCGAGCCGGAGCAAGCATGCGCACTGACGCATAGTTGCACACGCATTGGCTCAGTTTGGCGACAGACAGCCTTTATAAGGAGGCTCATCACTCCCTCAAGTTGCTGGTTGATCTCTGGCTCCCCAGTACCATTGTCTGTGTTCCTTGCTATAGTGATTTCCTGTTACTGACCCGGCTTGCTCTTGGACCTGTCTTCGCTACCTGACTCCTGACCTGACCCTGGATTGGCTAATGGATATTCTCTCCTGCTCCTCTGTGTATGACCCCGGCTACTCTACTGATTATGTCTGCTCCAATCTCCACCTGGCACTTGACCTTGGCTTTGAACCAACTATTCTGTGGTCCTCTGTTTCCCTGAAGGCTTGGATACCTCTCACAGGCGCCACCTGTTTGCAGACTCCATTCCAGTGCATCAGCTGTGCTCTTGGGTGTACCTCTGACCAGCACTCCTACAGGTGACCTGTGCTACTTTGGGCCCGACTCCTGCTGTCCCATATCCAGGAGAGTCTGGAACTTAGCCGCAAGGGAAGCCCTCTACCCATTGGCCTCCATCACCAGGTACGTGATACCTCTTCTAAATATTATGCACAAGAAAGCCCACAAACAGTTTGCTGAAGACAAGCAGACTAAGGATATGGATTACTGGAACCATGTCCTGTGGTCTGATGAGACCAAGATAAACTGATTTGGTTCAGATGGTGTCAAGCGTGTGTGGCGTCAACCAGGTGAGGAGTACAAAAACAAGTGTGTCTTGCCTACAGTCCAGCATGGTGGTGGGAGTGTCATGATCTGGGGCTGCATGAGTGCTGCCAGCACTGGGGAGCTACAGTTCATTGAGGGAACCATGAATGCCAACATGTACTGTGACATACTGAAGCCGAGCATGATCCCCTCTCCCAAACACACCTCCAAGACAACCACTGCCTTGCTAAAGAAGCTGAGGGTAAAAGTGATGGACTGGCCAAGCATGTCTCCAGACCTAAACCCTATTGAGCATCTGTGGGGCATCCTCAAACGGAAGGTGGATGTCACGTACCTGGTTGGGGAGCTTGACGTGGAGAGGAGGCGTCCTCTTACTACTCCCGCTCGGCGCCCCTGATAGTGGGAACAGAGGATGCAGAGCCAGGAGTGGCACGAGTACCAAGTAGGTATGGAGCTGGTGGCAGGTAGATGAAGACCCAGGAGATCTGGATGCAGGCCAGATAAGGATGCAGGAATGTAGGTGCAGCAGCAGGCAGGTATGGCGGCAATCAGGATGCAGACTGGGAATGGACACAGAAGCAAGGATGAGGCAGCAGGCAGGTATGGCTGTGACCAGGATGCAGGTCGGGTGCAGGACCGTGGGTGCAGCAGTAGGTAAGTATGGCGGTGACCAGGATGCAGGCTAGGTGCAGATACAGGTAAGCAGGTGCAGTAGAGTCAGACAAGCCGGGTCAGGATCAAACGATCAAATCAAGTACAAGGGAGCAGGCAAGCGGATAGTCAGGGATAAGATAGGGTCGGTGCAGGCGGAGTTCTTTCTTAGTCAGGTCAGATCAGGATACAGGCAACAGAATCAGGTTATGGAGTGCAGAACGTTATAGACCAGAAGGCATTGATTATACTGTATTGCGGGTTTAAATAGCCTGCCTTGTGGTGACGTGTACGCTACTGCGCATGCACAGACTCGCACGCTTCTGCACATACGCGCCCACACCGCCGTAGCCCAAGGGGAGCCGTCACACGGCTGCACAGAGGGATCCCTGACAGTGCCCCCTCCCTAAGGGCAGCCTCCGGATGCCCAACTGGGCCATCTTCTCTGGATGCCTGCGCTTGAATGCCACCATTAAATCTTTAGCGTGGATGTTAGACTCCGGTTCCCATGAATTGTCTTCAGGTCCATTACCTTTCCATTTAATTAAATATTGGAGTTGGTTCCTCCTTTTCCTACAGTCCACATTAGTTTCTACCTCATATTCCTCTTTGCCCTAGATAATCACTGGTTCAGGTGGCCCCAATTCCCGACCTGGAAAGGGGTTAGAGACTGCAGTCTTGAGCAACGATATGTGGAATACGGGATGGACTTTTAGTGATTCTGGTAGTGTGAGCTCGCATGCTACATCATTAATTCTCCTTTTTACTGGAAAAGGTCCCACGAATTTGGGGTCTAACCTCTTTGAGGGACAGGTTAACCTTAGATTGGCTGTTGACAACCATACCTCTTCGCCAGGTTCCAGGACCATGTCCCCTTTTCTTTTTCTGTCAAAGAATTTCTTATTTTCTAACTGAGCCTTTAAGATTGTCTCCTGTAGCATCTTGTTGTTTTGTTGAAGGAATTCAAAGGTATCTTGGACTGCTGGGATTGCTGATTCAGGCACTAGATTGGATATGAATGCAGGGTGAAATCCATAGTTAGAGAAGAAGAGAGAGTGTTTTGTGGCTGGGTGTTTTGAATTATTATATGCAAATTCAGCCAAGGGTAAAAGTGATACCCAGTCATCTTGGGTAAAAGACGTAAAACAAACGAATGTACTGCTCCAAGTTCTGGTTGGTTCTTTCTGTTTGGTCATTGGTCTGAGGGTGATAAGCAGAAGAGAGAGAGAGTCCAACTTTCAACTTCTCGCAAAGCGCTTTTCAGAACTTCGAGGTAAATTGCACCCCTCGATCCTAGACAATGTTCCCTGGGACACCATGAAGCCTCACCACCTCTCTTATAAAGATTTGGGCCATTTCTGCTGCAGCCGGTACTCCCTTCATGGCAATAAAGTGGGCCATTTTAGAAAACCGATCCACTATAACAAAAATAGCCGAACATCCTTCTGATGGTGGCAGTTCTACAACGAAGTTCATCGATATCATTCTCCATGGATGGTCAGGAACTGGTAGAGGCATTAATAATCCCCAGGTCTCGCTTCTGTTACCCTTGTTCCGTATACAGGTGGGACAGGAATTTACGTAAGCCTTGCAGTCCTTCTCCCTCTCAGGCCACCAGAACAGGTGCTGCACTAGGTCTAAAGTCTTGTGGACCCCGAAATGTCCTGCCAGCAGATGGTCATGAAAAAGCCCTAAAATTGCCAGTCGGGTAGTTTCCGGTGCAAAGATTCTGTTCCCTGACCATAGTAACCCTTCTCTAGGGGACAGAGTTATTCCTGGAGGGGATGGAGCCCCAAAAGATGCCTGCTGGATCTGCAAAAAAAGATCTGGTTGAAAAAGGCAGAAGTCGTCTGTTGAGAGCACTGTATCAGGGGTAGGAGGATCCTTCGGGTCATCAAACATCCTAGACAGGGCATCGGGTTTGATATTCTTAGAGCCTGGTCTATAGGTAATGGGGAAGCTGAATCTGGAAAAGAAGAGTGCCCACCTGGCTTATCGGGGTTTTAGACGTTTCACAGTCTTCAGGTACTCCAGATTTTTGTGATCGGTGTAGATCAGAATGGGATGTGCTGCTCCCTGTAAAAAGGTATCTCCATTCCTCCAAGGCTGATTTGATGGCCCTACATCGTAGTTTTTGTCCGCCGGGGATAGCTTCCGGGAAAAGAAAGCAACAGGATGAAGCAGGAGTTTCAGACTTTGCCACTGCGATAGGACATCCCCAACAGCACTTTCCGAGGCATCTACTTCTACCACAAAGGGTAGTGCTGGATCTGGATGGCTTAATATGGGTGCTGAGGTAAAACTTCCCTTTAATGCGTCAAAAGCGTTTTGGGCCAACAGATTTGGATTCCTTGTTTGGTCAATTGATTAATAGGAGTGATGATGGCAGAGAACCCCTTCATGAACCTCCTGTAAACGTTGGTGAAGCCTATCAAGCGCTGTACTACTCCCTTTTTATCAGATGGTGCAGGCCATTCCAGGATGGCGGAGACTTTCTGGGAAACCATCTTGAAGCTCTCAGTGGATATAATCAATCCTAAGAATTGAATGCTCTGGCGTTCAAACTCACACTTTTCTGGTTTTGCGTAAAGTCCGTGTAGTCGGAGGCGACCCAGGACCTTCTGCACATGACCCCGGTGAAGCTCGATGGATGCAGAAAAGATCAGGATGTTGTCAAGATATACAATCACGAAGATGTCTAAGAAGTCCCTGAAAGTGTCATTCACTAAGTGCTGGAAAGTTGCAGGGGCATTTCACAGTCTGAAGGGAATAACTAAGTACACGTAGTGCCCAAACCTGGTAAGGAAGGCTGTCTTCCACTCATCTCCTTCTCTGATCCTTACGAGATCGTATGCCCCTCTTAAATCTAGTTTTGTAAATATTGTCACAGACCTGAGCCTCTGGAATAGTTCTGGGACTAGCGGCAGTGGATATCTGTTATTCACCGTGATGTTATTTAATTTGCGGTAGTCCACACATGGACGGAAGGAGTGATCTTTTTTTTCCACAAAGAAGATCCCTGCACCTGCTGGTGAGATGGAGGGGCGGATGAACCCCTTTTTGAGATTATCTTCAATGTAATCTTTTAATGCCTGCAGCTCCCGCTCTGACAGTGGAAAGATCCGACCAAAAGGGAATCTCAGCTCCAGGTAGAAGTTCGATCGGGCAGTCATAGGGCCTGTGAGGCTGTCTGCACCACGTTTCTGAAGACGTACAGAAAATTATGGTATGCTGCCAGGAACCATTTGGCTTACTTCGGTATCATTTTCCATGTATAACAGGGTCCCGGATTGAGCAGGACCTTGGGGTAAGCAGTGCTCATGGCAGTAGGCCGATTGAAAGTCCACTTCACCAGATACCCAGTTTACACTGGGGTTGTGGGACTGCAGCCATGGGATCCCCAAGATGACTGGAAACAGTAGTGATGCAATAACATCCAGGTATAGTAGTTCCTTGTGGCCAGAAGGAGATATTACCACAGGAAGTGGGATCGTTTCCTGTGTGACTGCCCCAGACTTAATGTTAGAGATCCATCGGGCAGATATACAGTCAATCTCTGAGTCTTGGCTTTTAGGTGTATCTGGTGTTGCTGAGCGAAGGTTGCGTTGATAAAGCAACTGCAGGCCCCAGAATCAATGATAGCGGGTACGGGCAGGTTTCTTCCCAAAAGCTGGAATGAGATGGAAATGGTAAGGTGAGCAGGGTTGAGAGTTGGTAGTTTACCAGGCAGAATGGTCAGAGACTTGCCTAGATTTGCAGGGCAGTTCTGTACATTCTCCGCAATAGAGGCATAGGTTGCCCTGTCAGCGGCTTTGACGTTCCTCCGAGGTAAGAGAGGTTCGTAGCAACCCTATTTGCAAGGGTTCAGATTCATCAGAATTGGGTGTAGCAGGTCTGGTTGGTGCCATGCTCGCTGGAAGTGGTACCCTGGGTAGCATCCACTTGGGACGAACAGATTTTGCATTCTCTAGTTTTAGTAAATCAACACCTTAATGTATACATACACGTGGGCCCATCCTCATAGTCAGACTCATGTCAGTGGGTGCACAGGACAGCCTTTTCTCCTGTCTTGGAAATTCGCTTTAACAAATTTCTCCTTACCGTGAGTACTCGCAGTTGGATGCGCAGAAATCCCCCATAAAGCTGTGCGAATCTCGCTTACCACGACTGCAGCTAAACTACTACACGATTCCTGCCCATCCAAATGGGTTAGCTTCTGTTGAAATGTGGGGGATGGAGCTCCGTTACCCTAGAATCATCACACGACACTCTAAGGCTAGTGTTGCAATTCACATAAAGCCGGCTTCAGACTCAGCCCTCGGTTTTATTACAAGCACACACATGCCCCCCACATGAATAAAGTCAATCCCC